TTAACTGTGAATTTGTATGCAAAATATTACTTGACTTTTTATGCTCATTCCCACTCGATTTGTATGCATTTTTTTTTTTGTTCCCTTTACGTCTGATAGTGTGCGCCTTGGAATTTTTGTCAGCATGATTCATTCACATTCAAGTTGGCTGTCTTTATGTGTTTTTTGTAACTCTTCTGTTTTTATGCGCAAGTGTTGTTACCAACTGACAACAGGTAACTTGAATGCTGCTGTACACACATTATATATATATATATGTATATGTAGTTGTATTCTTGTGTTGTCGCGTTTGAATCGCTTTATTGTTTCATTGCATTTTATCAACCAAAAACCGGTTAGAGTTTTATGCACGAGTGAGCTCCAATTCTATTGAGCATCCATAATTGAATTTGGTTGCTCTTAAGTGATTTCTGAAATGGAATGGATGGCATAAATGAGTTTATTTTATTGACTTTCATTTTACAGGAATTTAGAGTAGTGACAGTTCTTGCCCTAACATTTCGCACACCGTCTTCAAAAGAGTCACAACTCAAAATTTGGCTTTATTGAAATTATGCGCTAAAAATGTACACAAAGCTTTTATCTATATTATCTTTCAGCAAAAGCTGGAGCAAATTTTTGTTATAATTTGTTTAAAAAACCTAAGGTAAAGGCCATATGATTATCATGTGCTAAGAAATAGTTTTTCGCATTTTCTGACGAACGTATTATTTTGAGTTGTGACTCTTTTTTAGACGGTATGCTGTCTGAAGAACCAAAATAACTGCCCTTTTTTTTTTTAAATAGTCCAATTTTGGTATCTAAATAAAAGTCGCTGCGTTTTAATTATATTTTTTTACGTCGCTGAAAAGAGAAAAGTTCCACTCTTTTTTTTTTAGTTGTCCTATTTTTGTAGAAAATATGTCTTCTACACTAGTGCGATCATAATTGATCATTATTCTTTAATTTTTATTTTTTCGATCAGACTTGGTACTAAAGTATCGATGAGAATATCGATAAGGTTATCTTCAAGTCCATATGTATTACACACAAAAATGTCAAGAAAATTCAAACACTGCTCTTTCTAACTCTCTCACTTAAGAAAAATATGAAATTACCACGACGAATGGTATACAATATTGCGCTGATTGATGTGAAATTCGGGAGAGTAACGTGGATGTGACCACGATTGAGAGAATACAAAGGTTGCGCCGATCTCGGACCGCTATTCCTCTCTTAACGAATTT